AACGCCTCGTCGCTCTCCCTCTCCGACGGCATCCGGCTGTGGGGCCACACGTCGGGCATCAGCGACGCCGAGATCACGGCCCGCGGCAAGGCCGTCAGCGTCAGCACGCGCGGCGACGAGATGCGCGTCTGGGAGCTCGAGGGCCGCACTGCTGGCGTCGGTGGCGGCGGCGGCGGCGGTGGTAGTAGTAGTAGTAGTAGTAGTAACACACGCAGTGTCGAGATTCGGCCTTGGGGGTTGGCGCAGGTGCAGTCGCAGTCGCAATCGCAGTCGGTGGGGGGAAGTGGCATTGATAGTAGGGTTGAATCAGAAGGGGATGGTGCTGGTCGTGTAAACGGGTACCCGTACCCGGCACGGGACTGGGATGAGAGGCGGAATTGGGTCGGGTTCGATGACGAGATGGTGATTGTGTTGAAGGAGAGGAGGGGCGCGAGGGAGAGTTTGATGGTTTACGACTTTACTACGTGAGGGACTGGAGGGAATCTGGGAACAATCAGTGGCTGGTCGTCGACATCCCCTGGACGTTGTCATGAACGTACTCCGCGCACGGCTTCCAAGTTGGAAGAGCGCAATGGCCACGGCCTGGCTGCAACTTGTCCCCAGGCATACCCCAACCCCGACATGGTCCCCTGGCTGCGAAGGGGCTCGAGCCTTCAAACGACTGCCAGAATTGCATGGCCAAGTGAGGCACTTTATCGACTGGGTATGGAATCCCCTCATCACATCACAGTGACAGCTGGGACAAGTCCTCGGGCTGTCCAAGGGCTGTCACATCTGTGAGTTAGAGTTCGAGTGGGCGAACCCTTGGATCCCCCAAGAGGCACTTCACATCAAGCAAAGTCGTGCGGCAGCATCCGTCGCTGACATGGACCGGGTGGCAAGCTTCGTGAAAATATTCGCGGGAGTCATCAGTCTGATCCGAGCATCTGATCCCCCAGGAGCACATGGCGTTGACCGGAAGCGGGCCAGGCAAGGCCCGCGCTTGACGCACGCGTGACGCGACGTGAGCACGCAGTACGTGCCGGACTGACATATTGCGTCCGAGGCCACCTGTATGTGCTGCAATGACGCTGCACCGGTCCGCGCTTGGGACGCGCGAGGTGCATGGCTGGCTAGATGGGTGCACATGTGGGAAGTTGTCAGTATTGCATCACCAGCCAAACCTTAGGTACAACACACGCCATAAATACCAGCCACGCCCACTCACTCGAGGCTAATCAGCCAACAATCCTTCTGAACAAATTTGCAACAATCTCGAGCTATATAACCACAGCCAGGATGCACCTAACTCGCCGTTCCAGTCTGCCGCAGACACGCCTCGTCAGATCGGGGATTCGGTTACTCAACCCGAACAAGCTGATTTCATTACTTCCAGCGCCAACCAGCCTATCTTCAGCCGCCACCATGAGCGATGTGGCATCTCCCCCCGCGGATCTAACCCGCCGGCTGCAGGTCATTGGCGCCGGGCTCCCTCGCACTGGAACCGTGTCGATGGCCATGGCGTACGAAAAGCTCCTTGATGGGCCCGTCATGCACGGCGGCACCCAGCTCCTTAACAGAGAAGACGGTAAGCAAGAAACCCACCCACGACAGCTCCTGGGAACAGTGAACGGAGCTGAAAGGTTTGACACCACCAGCCTATCCGCGCCTGTGGGCTCGCGTGTTCGACGCCAAGTTCAAGGGCGACAAGGCGCTCACCCTCCAGCTGCTCCGTGAGGCCACGGCCGGTTTCGTCGCCATCACCGACTACCCGGGCGTCTGCTTCATTGCCGAGCTACAGGAGCTGTATCCGGAGGCGCTCGTCGTATTGGTCAACCGCGACAAGGACCGGTGGTACAAGAGCTTCGAGATGGTCGCCAAGGAGGCGACTCCCCCTAAGCTCCGGTTCCTCCTGGCCCCCGTGCCCACTTGGCGCTGGTTCCCCTACATTATCAACTGCATCATCAAGGCGTGGGTCTTCCCTGCCTACCGCACACTCCCTTTTCAGAGTGCTGACCATCATAAAAACAGCGAACTGGCCCGCCTCTCTGTCTCCTCCTACCTGACGCCTGGTAAGCAAGCAACGTCCACATACCTTACCTTACCTTACCCTTTCCTTTCTCTTCCCTGACTGACTGACTGACTGACTGGCTGACTCGATTTGTTACTAGACCTCCTCACACTGCACCTCAGCTGGGTCAGAGACTGCACGCCGGCCGACAGGTTCTGCGAGGTCGACCTCAAGGAGGGGTGGGTGCCGCTGTGCCGCGTCCTGAACAAGCCGGTTCCGGACGAGCCCTTCCCACGGGTCAACGACGCGGACTCCGTGACGCAGCAGAACCGGCGCATCTGTGCCCAGGCCTGGATGGTCTGGCGTGTCATCTTTGCCGCGGCTGGGTTTCTTGTTGGTGCTGGCTGCTATTTATTGTGGGTGAGATTGTGAGAGGATATTGTGAGAGGGGAGCTTGTGAGAGAGGAGATTGATGAGGTCGCGCATGTGTTTCGGGTCAGTATCTGTTTGAAATTTAGACTTTTCTTGACTGTTTGTATGTTCAAGTGGAGGGTTTGGTTCATGTTCATGTTCATTCTCAGACGCTCAGACGTTTTCAGGAAACATACCAGATATGTATGTACTTACTTAATCACATAGACTGCTTCAAGTTTAAAAGGGGTTTTTTTTTTGATACTCGATCAACCAAGCCGTGCTTCCTAGAAATCGACTGATTCAGAACAGAATCATTCTCACCGGCCGTGTTTCACAGGCTCATGACTACCCTAACTTTGAACAAAAGCTCAGGTACTAGTGGCTGCAGTAAGTGACATGGATGTGACGCACAGTCTATCCCTCACTGGACGTCGGAGGGCGTAGCCGCATGGACGTCACGGTGGCCGAAATATAGAGCAGCCAGCTGCTCACACACGCCCCAGATGCGCCGCCTGTTTGCAAGCGACAAAAAGGGGCCATCCACGCCGTACTTTGGGGCCGTGACCTTGTCCAGCCACAGGTACAGCTTCTTGTAGTCCAGTGTGACCTTCTCTTCAGGTTCCTGCCCATCCAGGAGGGGGCGCAGTGAATTTAGCCACGGCATCTCATGTGTGAGGTGCCACTTCCAGAAGCCATTGGAGCGGGTCGCAGCAAGTGCGGGCCAAGAAGCCTTCAGCAGCGCCAGAAGATCGTGGCCGGACAGAAGGCGGGCAATGGTCATGAGGAGCTCGTTGGGCAGTCGAGAGAATGGGTCCTGGAGAACGGGATTCCGCACTAGGACAGAGGTTTCAGGCCGCAGTTTGAAAACGGGGTCGCCAACCAGGCTCTGTCTGAGCTCGTCTGTAACCGCGGCTGTGGCAGAGGGGTTCGAGACAGAGAACTTTTTGGGCCATGTCGTCAGCCTTCCACTTGTAGGTATTTTCTCACAAAACTGGGACGTGAGGTGGGCATACCTCTTCTCCGGAAAGTGGCCTCCACCTGCCCTTCCCGGCGTCGCGCCCAGAAACAAAGCCGTAGTCGAGGATGGGGTGAAAACAAGACACGGTTGACAACAGCAAACCGTCTCTCAACTCGGAGGCAAGGCAGGACATGACATGGTACAGCACGTCCTTGTCGATCCCTTCAAGTCTCGAATCCCCGGAGCCGGCGAAAACGTCGGAGAGGATGTCAAGACAACAGTTGTGGAAGGGAAAGGCGACAAAGCAATCCATGTCTGCCTCGCCCTTGTCGTAGCTGGTGTGCTGCGTCAAACCCCCAACATGATCAAAAACTGGAAAGCAAGAAATGCAAAATGATGGGTAGGTATTTACCAGACCATATTCCACGTGTAAGGGCCCTTGTCTTCCTCATCCCTCGGCTCATTTGGGTCTGTTTGGTGACAGGGTTAGCTTTCCCGGCAATCGGCGAAGGGTGTACAAGTACAGAATCGGGACCGAGCATGCCATTGCCGGGCGTGACCTCAACAACGGCCTGCGATGGAGAAGGTGGTCAGCCTGCATGTGCCAAATACCTCGGCTTGAATGCGGACCATCAAAGAGTGGGCAGCTTACCCCCCAATAGTCGAGAGTCTGCCCAGATATAAAACCCCTGAGAGAGAGGCGTCTTAGCTGTGTGTCCTGATTGTAGCAGACAGAGCCAGGGAGGATTGAGGCCACCTGGATCCGGCCTCTGCTCCTTCGTTGATGGCCAGGCAGCAGCTCTCGGCCAGCCACTCGAGGCTCTCCCGGCTGACGAGGGTTGGATTGTAACCCTCGGGCTCATAGTCGTTCGGCCACTCAGTACTAGTATCCCACTCTTCCCCGTCCACGACGTATCTTTCGCCGGCGCAGGAATCGGGCTCGCCACGCTCCACGGCAACGCGTTTGTGTCTCACGAATTGGCGCCGCTCCCTCAACGCGTGCGGCGCTGAGGACCCAGTCAGGTGCCCAGACTCGAGAGAACACCCACAGATGGCGCAGAATACCGGGCTGTCAGTGAGTGTACGCATGATGGGGGTTGATATGCCGGCGACGCTGTGCCAAAATCGTGCCTTGAAGTTGTTGCAGCATGCAGAGCCATGCTGCCCCGCCTTTTATTGTGAGGTCCGATCTTGGCTGGTCATCTCTTTCCAAGATACAGGTACTGCGAAGTAGGCACTCAACAAAGTAAGCCAACTAAAACCACAACAACAAGCCACAGCAGACGTAAAAATTGGGTGAATATATCTCTATCGATAGATAAAGACTTACGGAATACTAGGCCGTTGCCTGATTATCATTGCAGGCAGCCAAGCCTCAGGCGAAATCCACCGACGAAACCTAAGCTTTGACCGACTGAGCTGCACTGAGAAATTGACGCGACCTACGCGTTTAGAAAAGGGGGGCATTTGGTGTTCTGCGCTTATAGCAGTAAAAAGTTAATGAAACGAACGCTTCTTCATCACTTCTCCTCCGAACAGTGTTAGTTCGTTATGTTCAATAATGTGGGAGGACCATGCAAATAAAAAAATCCATGACAATTTGTCGGATACAGCTACAAAAGTCAAGGATGATGACGACGACCCACCCAGGGGTCGAACCTGGAACCTCCTGATTACCTGATTTCTGGATATCTTTGAAAATGTCCAGAGTCGTAGTCAGACGCTCTGCCATTGAGCCAGCGGGCCCTTGAACCATTGGTCGTTGTTGAGATTACAATTATCAATTTAGATTTACATAGTTGTGCGTAATTTTCGTCAATTTTCCGCAAGATCCCGCTTGGTGGGGAGGTGGGGACGTCTAAGCGACGACCAATCAACGGCCAACCTGGATCCACAGCTTCGTTGTTCCGGAGACTGTGATTTGGCCAAATATTTGCTCTGTGTGTGCTGATACCCTGAGGTTGCCAGTTATCTTGAGAGGATCAACATGTTGCAATGTTGGGCCGCGTTTCTGTCTGTGGCTGCCATGCAATGTGCCAAGGAGGAGAGTCGAACGGATCACAAACCGAATTCCATTCTAGGTCCGTCCTTCAAAGGCCCTCCGCTACCTCAAGAGCAAGTCAACAATGAGGACGCCAGAGAACTGACTTACAATCTTGCTGCATGAAAACTTAGGGGCGTCTTGAACTTAAAGTGGTCAACATATGAATGCAAAGCTTGCTCTATGGACCTATCAATGCAGACCTCAGCTTCCCCCTGATCAAGAACTGCCCGGCCGATAGCATTAGGGACCATCTCTTGATCATTAAGGTCTGCCTTCCATTGCCAGTACGTTTTATCATGCTGTTACCCTTTCTGCCAAAAGCACAACTATTCTAGCGTCAAGCACTGCAGGATGAGCTTGTCTGCCTTCTGACGTGACCTTGGTTATTGCCCCATTCAGCTTGTTGATCACGTTTGACAAGGCCAGTGAGGGTCTGCAACATGACGGCTCGCAATTCGTTCATGTCTGCCAAAGAAATCTTCAAGATGTAACATGACTTGCAATCAGTGGGTCGCACACATTGCAGTGTCTGGTGACCAGGCTCACTTTGCTTGAACTTAACGCTGGGAGAGACTCCGGGGTAGGCCGGGATAAGTGGGGCCGAAAGCACGACTTCCGACCCGGTCCCTCCGGAAGACACGGCGTTACCTGCCCGATTCGGACGATTTCTGCCGCACGTCGCCGAACAGACAGAGTCGAGATGATTGATTCTTGCAGCATTGTTCCGATTTTTGTTCAGACCCGCTTTCGTACCGTGAGAGTTTCTATCTATCGCAGCACCCCTCGCCCAACTTTTCCCACCCACCACAACAGCAACGCACCCCTCCGCTCTGCCTCGCGCTGCCCTCTTCGCCCGCTTCACCCCCTTCGCTTCCGTCATCGCGACCCTCGTCGCAATCACTCTCGTCGTCCGTGCTCCCGGCCCTTTTTTCTTTCTTTTCTGGCATGCCTCGTCATGGGATCCTTGGCCTCCCCGACGCGGTGCTGGCGCAGATCTGCTCGCAGTTCTGCCCGCACTGCGGCGGGGAGGACTGCCTGAACGGGTTTGAGCTGCCCAACAGCTTCTGGGGCCCAGACTTCTTCGGAAGCCTGGGCGCCCTGGCGCTGGTCAATGTGCGCATCGGCCGCCGGGCCCAGGCGGTCCGCTTCCACGTCTTCTGCGGCCGCAGGGACTCGCTCACCCTGCTGGCTCGCACCCTCGTCGAGCAGCCGGCTCTTGCGGCCCACATCCGCGTCGTCCGCCTGGGCGACAAAGACAAGCATGGCAACTGGGGCTGCGTCGTGCGGGAGCTGGCCACTCCGGAGGCTGTCGAGCGGCTGAAGGCCTTGGTTGCGCCCGACTTGGGCGCCGAGTTCGATCCGCTGCGCAAGAGGGGGGAGGAGCGCTTGCTGCAGTGGTTCAGGCGGCTTCTTCCCATCGAGGATTCCTTTTTTTGCGCTCCCAGCCCCGGCGACGTCGTCTTGGGCGTTCCTGGCGACGAGCCGCCTGCATGGGCTCCAGGCAACACTGCGGTGGCCGAGGTAAGTTTGCCCCACGAAACCAGCAAAGAATGTAGATAGAAATGGTGTGTGTAATGTGAATTGGTGTGTTTGAGCTAACTTGAAAACAGAGGTGCGTCGCCAACGCTCGGCTCAACGCCCTCATTCTCTTCACCCTGGCCAAGAAGATCAAGTCTCTCGCCATCCTGAGCGAGTGGCCGCTTGCGCTGTTCCCCGAGCCGAAGCCTTGCCCCAAGATCAAGGTCAAGCAAGCCATTGCCGCCCCTGACCCCGGCCCGCTGCCCGAAGTGGAGGAGCTGCGCCTCGACAGCAGCAACGAGAACCCCCAGTACCGCACCGGAAAATGCGTCGTCGACATCCGCAAGTGTGTCGGCCTCTTCTCCCGCCTCTCCAACCTGGATTCCCTCGAGATCCGCGGCGGCCACCATACTCTCTCAAGCAAGCAACTGGTGTCGTGCCAGCCCGCGCTCAACAACATCTCGACCCTCAACCTCATCGCAACAAGCACGTCCACAATGAGCGATATCCTCCAAGCCTGCTCCCCAAATAGGTTAGAGTACGTCCGCTTCACCATCCCTCCAAACCAAGACGGCATCCTGCGCAACGGCAACGACGTCCAAGGCCGCACCATCGCCAACCTCCTGCACGAGTACCGCCTCTCCGAGCGCCTCAGGACGCTCTACCTCGACACATCGGAGTCGACCCTCTTCGCAGCCAACGCATACGACGTCCGGCAGACCTTCCAAACCATCCCCTCCCTGCGCCCCACTTTCCCCTCCCTCCGCCACCTGACCATCAGCGCCGACGCCATCTACTACCCCTCGCAGTACCCGCGCGTGCTGCTCCGCGACCCAAACACGCCCGGGCCGGGCAACGGCAACGAACGAGACCGCCTCGTTACCTTCCTCCCGCCCACCCTCCAATCCCTTTGCATCACGGGCGTCTACGCCATCCCGACCCTCGACGTCGCCAGCCTGGCCAGGGCGTGTCAACAACATCAACCTAAAGGCGGGCAGCAGCAGCAGCAGCAGTTTGACGCCCTCGAGCGCGTCACGCTGAGAGGTCACAGGAATGTCTGGACCGTCGTCAAGCCCGTCGCCTGGACGCCGTATAAGATCCCCGAGAAGTCGTCTGTCGCGGGGGTTTGTGCTGATTGGAAGGAGGTGGCGGTGTACATGGAGGAGTGTGGGGGCGAGATACTTGACAAGTTTGTCCGGCGGTTTGAGCGTGTGGGGGTGGAGTTTGGGGTTGATATGCCTGAGGCTTTCTTTGATGCATATGCTGGGGAGTGGAGTCTGGATCTTGGTGGTTAGAGTCTGGTTAAAGGAGAGGTTGATGAAGGGGTGGCTGGGATGGGATTGGTGTCTGTGTATTGTACAAATGTTTGCTGCTGCTTTTCAATGGAAGTACCAAGCTTTGAGAATGTTAACAGCGATTTATACCTTAGTGTTCTCGCCAAAATTCCGAGCGGCGATGGAACAGTCGGGTCAAACACTCCCGAGTCGCAGGCCTCACTGCGCAGTGCGATCAGCAAACAGAGACTTGGCCAGCTCCTAGTGCTGGCGTCATCTACATCAGAGTGTACACCCATTTCGACCAAGACGAATCCGACATCAACGAGGCGGGTTGGTACTGTCCCCTGCTCGACGCAAGATACACAACGACGGAACAAGGAGAACCTCCAGGCTCTCTACCACTAGGTCGCGGCCGGAAGGGAAAACCAACCGACCGACACATTACAATATCGCTCGAAGAACCTCACCATACCACCGTCACATCCTTATATCGATCCATACGTCAGGAGAGGGCAAATCGATAGCTGAGCAGACAGCCATACTGATAGTCAAAACCTTCTCCTCCTCCTTCTTCTTCTTTTTCTTCTACTTTTTCTCTCTCTTCTCTCTCTCTTTCTCTCTCAATATAGCTAAATACTATGCTAACGAACAACCTCCGGCTAGGTATGGTAGGTATTCAAATTCGTCAATCAGTCGAGCTGACCCCCCGAGAATCCTTCTTCGCGACCCTTGAACTTGAGCTGATGGAGAAAGGAGACCACCAGTACCCGTTCCTCGGGCTCCCTGCCATTGGCGTGTATCGCAACTTCGCAAATGCAGATCTTCTGGGGATACGGATTGAATGGAAAGACAAACTCCGCCAGAAATGGTCCGCCACACGCCTGTTTGGTCCCAGCTAGGCATTTTTCTAAGTTGGTGGCTCAGAAAGAACGTCCAATCCGCCCGCGACACGAGCCTGAAAAAAGGCCATGAGCACCCTGCAGCTTTACATGGTGACGAACTGAATCTGGCGCCGGGAAGAGTTGGAGCAACGAGGAGCTTGCGGTTCAAGGTTCTCGGAGCATTGGTTGCGGCATCCACAACGGTTACTAACACGGAGGTTCAGTCCTAGATTCCTGTTATGGCATAAGAGCGCGGACCCTTACTCGCTGACACGTCAGGCTGTCTCTCGATATACTGGTCTGTGGTGGCACTTTCAGCCACTTATCGGAAGGAAGCTGTCCATAGTGGAGCTTGGGTCTGCTTCAGAGACTCTGAAATTATGTTGAAATATTGGATGGAATGAGTGAGGAAGGAGCTTCTGAGGTTCCGCCTCATTCACTGGGCTCAGGCTTCCTCAGATGAGGTTTTTCTCGAGGGAAGATTGGCCGAATGAACCTTTACACTCATTTGGCAATTCGCTTCACACTTGCGGTGGCATTGAACACCACAATCAGATTATTTTCCAGGTTGTTCGTCTACAATTCGACTGGCATCTTGTCACTGTGTCAATTGAGCTTCAAGCGTTCGATTGCCTTGGACTGGCACATGATTACAGCCATCCATGGCGCGCCGAGGCGGGAACAATTACATGAAACATAACATAGATGAACTCAATTCAACTCATGCGGCGATGGGAGGAATTCGAGTCTTTCGAGAGCAGTTCTATCGACGTTGGTCACTTTGTGATTGAGTAGGTGACATCTCCTTCCAATTGCGATTTCCTGTCCTCCACAGGCCGAGACCGGCCGGCCTGCCCATGTGGTGTCGAGAGGGTCTACTGTGGCAAGGTACAATAATACATCTGGTAAGTTTGGCAGGCAGAAGGTAAATATCGTACCGTGAGCTTATTGCCCGAGGAGGCAGGATCTAGAACCTGAAAGAGCCGCAACCGGTTGGGACTAACGGTAACTTAAATTATGCTTTTC